TCACTCTTATCCCTCCAACTTGATATGATAACTTCAGTAATTGCTCTTGATTCTTTTGGCTTTCATGGTTTTTTGTGGCTAACTTCACCTTTTTTAAAAAAAAAAAAGCTCGGATTGCTACCCTGTTTTTACCCCTAGTCTTCTCTGTCTCCCAGTTTTACAGGACATTTATCCCTGGCCTGCAGAACTCTACTGACTGGACCATCCCTGGCCTCAATTTCAGAAGGGGATTAGGACAGCCATAAATGCTCAGGTTAGGTGTAGTTGAGTTCAAATAGTTCTATTTGTTAAGGGTTTGGAGTTATGTTTCCCTTTCTGAGGTTTGCTTGGAGGAAATAGTACCCATAAAGAGAATTATGGGGTGTCAATATAACTAATAGCTGGGCCAGCACCCAGTATCACACAGTACGGGGCTTACTATGCAGGGCTCAAACTTTGTGTCACAGCAACCTTGGCCCTAGAGACACATGGCTCCTAGAATGTTTGACCCATAAAATAAGCCAGGTCTCGTCTGAAGGCACAGCTACTTAAAGGGTGGAGAAAAGCATATTTGGTGGGGAGAAGCAGGAGCATATTTCCCCAAAAGTTTCATCCAAGGCTTCTAAATTAAGCAGCATCATGAGGTAGGTTGTAGACTTTAATAACACATTGCCCTATAGCCACCGAGCTTAACACGGGGGAGGACTTTAGAGATGTCTAGGTACAGCTTGACTTCAGTCAAGTCAAAGGATGCTATATATTCCACTGAGGGCCATAAAGAACCAGAACCCTTGTACCTGTAAACACGGTCTTCCTTCTACTCCACCCCACCGACAGGGCTCTGGAATTTTAGATATTGCTTTTAAACCAAAAGCCCTTCCTTCCTGAATTTTGGAATTGTTTCCATATTTCCATATGTGTTACTGGGCCTTGGGTTCTTTAACTTACATAGGATTTTTTTTCTTACATTAATTGCTTTCAAAGGTGATCTGAACATGAAATGCTATTTTTAATCCTTTAAAAAGTATCTTTTTCTTCTCACTCACAGCTATAGTTCTCTTCCCCAACATTAGTTATTATCGGGTTCCCAGCCTCTAAGCTACCAACCTCACAAGGTGGGTTTTTTGTTTTTTGTTTTTGGCTTTGAATCATTCAATTACTTTCTGAATCATATTGGGAAAATGAAATAAACCACGTGGTTTTATAGGATATTGCTTTTTGAATTTTCTGGAGTCTGAGAATCAAGAGAACAGATTTTTGTTAATGTTGATTCAACTGAGGGATGTAAAGATTTGTGTTTTTTGTTTTTGTTTGTTTGTTTGTTTGTTTTGAAAGAAACAGAGCACACGCTAGCAGCAGGGGAGAGGTAGAGGGAGAAGGAGAAAGAAAGAATCTTAAGCGGACTCTATGCTCAGTGAAGAGCTCCATCTCATGGGGCTTCATCTCAGGACCCTGAGATCATGATCTGAGCCAAAATCAAGAGTCAGACATTTAACCAACTGAGTCACCCCGGCTCCCCAGAATGTAAAGATTTGTAAAAGTAAGGGGTTGCCTTTGTCTTTTAATGCATGCATGTGATTTCAGTTAGTTACATTTATCTTACAAAAAAGATATTAAATTTTGAGGGGTGAAGGTATATTGGAAAAAGAAAAGGAAAGCAACCATTTTCTCTCCCAAACTGCATTCTTTTGCTTTCCAAGGTACATTTTCCAGAGAACATTGTTAATACACAAAGCATCAGGCCGATCACAGATAACAGGAAGCACTTTCTAGAGATCCAGTCGAATGGAGAAATCAATAAATCCTATCCTGTGTTGATAAGCATTTGGACTCAAAAGGACATTTGCTCAAAATGCCTGTGGAAGTGGTCTACATGGCTCACAACTGCTGCTTCTGGGTCAATATTCTTTTTATTCTCCTGATTCCACCAGAAGAGCATCTTCATCATACTCTAATCTTTCTTTAATATTTTTTATACACTTCATAAATCTTCAATCTTTTAAGAAGGAGATTAGCCCAGCATAGATTATCTGCATGTATAATTTGCATGAGATTATAGAGATAGTTTAACAGAACCTACTGCTGGGTGTTGGGGGCGGGGTGTGCATCCAGAGTGGTGACACACGAGTATCATGCTGTTATATGTCTGTGTAACAGGGGAATCCACGGCAATTCAGATTCCAGACAGATAATTTCCTTTCCTATCAAAAGGAACCGAATATATTTTTTCTCGTTTCAGCTGTGTGGCAGAGAACACAGGCATAGCACACAGAAACAGGTGGCAAAAAGAGCACTTGGTGAGAGACAACTAGATAGCCTGGGGCCCCACAAACACAGAGAGAAAAGCTCCAGCAGGGTAGGTTACCCTACAGCATACTGGGTGCTGTGTATACCTCCTTAGGAACACAACAGGTAAGGACAGTACTCAGAGTCAACACTGAAGGAGTTGCACAGGCAGGCTGAGTTTTTGTAAATGGCAACACAGAGTCTAATACTAGAAGGTGCTAAGTCAGCACAGACTAGCTCAAGATGGGAGTGATTTTTTACCTAAAATGCACCGAGACAGGCACTTCCTTTGTGAGATGGTGTCAGAAGGTCTCTGCATAGCCCTTATAAAGATTATAACCCAGGACTGTCTGAAGGCTGGCAACTTTCCTCTCCCTTTCTCTCCACTGCCTTTCTCCTAAGTAAGATCTGTCTGCCTGCTGGGCTCTGATGGGATGACAGTGGACATGGCTATGTGACTGGAGGCCTAGTGGGATTGCGCACTGAGAAGGGAGCAAACCTGTAGTGTGAGGACAGAAGAGACACAGAAGGGAGGAAGGACGCTGGCTCCCCCTTCCACTCCCTTTCCTCCCCCCCTCCAAAAAAACCCCCTAAAAACAAATGAACAGTGTGCTTGGGAGCAAGAACCATTTTGGGGTAGAGTTTTTGGGAAAATTCGATGCAGGAAATGCGGCGTACCTATTGGTGAGTGTGAGCTGTAAGCAGAAAGAAATGAGGAAATGAGTTTTCATTTCAGCTGGGCCTGGCGAGTCGAGTCTTTCATTCTTTGGATGACTCCAGGGAAGATTTAAACTACTTGGCAATTAATTTTAAACATCAGACTGGTATTTCCTCCACAACAACTTTGTGAGACTTTAGGTCAAAAAGTGGCTGCATTTTACAGGGTTTAACTTAAAGTTAAGCTTCCATTAAAAGGATAATAAACTAGGTCCACTTCTCACTCATAATGAATTCCCCTTGTTATTGTCATAAAAGTCTTAATTTAGAGAAACTTTCAGGTATTTTTATATACAGCTGGATTGTGGAAGCCACTGAAATAATATTTTCTCAGTTCCAATGTCGGCAGTGGGGAGATCAAAAAGAGTTTTTCTTCCAGGAAGCTGCTCCAGCAGGGCCATCTCTAGATGTGTTCCAGGTGACAAAGACAATAGCAGGTGCAGCTGAGGAGAGAGGGGCTGAGGCTGGTGCTCAGGGTGCCCCAGACCACTGAGAGCATGGGCGCCCTATCGAGGGGCCCCCTGATGGACCTCTGAGGTGATGCACACCACATGTCCCCAGGGGAGGGCTCCTCTAGTTCTTAGTCATTTCTCCAGTCCATAGTGGCGCTCTCAGACAAAGTGACAAAGACTCCAGAGAGCCACGTTCCCACAGGTGGAATAAAAACAGCACATACAGGTTGGGAGCTGGGAGCAAGGCGGATCCTGCTCACCAAATCACTCTGGTACAATGTGACACCAGGTTCCATGATGACAGATCACCCCACTTATTAATGTGGGACCCTGGTCAAGTTTCTTAACCTGTCTATTTAACTCTTAGATTCCTCAACTGTGAAATGCAGAAATTAATGCCACCTCCCTTACAAAGAGATGAAATGAGAAAAATCTCTACGTAACACTCAGGACAGTGATTGGTATATAGAGAATTCCTCGTGAAGGTTACATCTTACTCTCCCTATCACTGATACTGTTAGTATTGTTATACTAACCCAATTTTTCACATGATTAAACTTGAAAACCTACATCTACACTTGAAAATACATCTCTGCTTTCCCTACATTTACAGATGATTCCTACATAATTATGAATATCCTCTCCTTTAGGTTGGTTGCCTTCCTAGCCTCTTCTCTACCTTTTTCATTACCCTAATCTCATAAATCCTTTAAGGTTTGGGCCCCTTGCCTAACACCCCAGAGAAGTGGCTGTTGATTAATTCTATGTATTTTTTTTTCATAGTGAATCTGTAGCTCTGTGTTGAGAGTTTTCTTTCGGCACATCTCTCTTCTATCATCATTTGTATTTGGTCTTATCTGCCCTGTTTGATTGTAATTGGTTGTAGAAACAGGTCAAGTCTTTTTCCCTTTGAAACATCTATAGCATCTGTGCCTGATTAGGTAGTAAGTATTCAATAAGTATTTGTAGATGAATGAGTGAAGTTAATAACAGTCAAATAAATTATTCATGATACACAATGTCCTCTATTAAATTTAAAAAAAAAACGGGGTGCTACCCTATGAATGGCTGTCCTCATGCTCTGAGTCAACACCCATCACACATAGCAAATTGGGTTTGTGTGTCACTCAGATTCGCCGTACATTCTCTCTACGTTCAAATCCAGAGCGTTAAAGCCAGGGTGATTCTAGGATCTTGCAACTTGCCTGTTAATTTTAGCCATTACCTTTATAAATATTAATTTCTGAAAGTAAATAATCAATAAACATCCTTGCCCCTTGAATGAGAAAAATTCGGTGATGTGCTTATGTATTTTCCATTAGAGGTCAATTCCAGAGCCCCTGCAGCAGGAATACTTCCTCCTTGCTAGCATTGATAAAATACAATTTGCATTACATCCCACTGCATAATGGACTCTATGTCAGTGGTGGGTTTCTTGTATGTTACTCATGTTCTAGAAGCAATTCCTAATAATTCCCATTTCAACATCTTGGGAGCAAGCCCCATCTCTTGTTCTTTCCTCACATAGATACATTGAAATGTTTAAAGGTACTCAAACATACATACCCACTAATGGAGTCCAGAAACCCAGTAGCGCCAGAGAGTTGGGGCCAGTTGAGCTCATTGGTAAGAGCTGTTGGTAAATTGATGAAGGATTTCTAAAGAAAAAATAAAGTGGCAATTATAAAAACAGTCATTTGTTTTTTACAGGTGGTAAGATTATCCATTGTTCTCTGTCTCTCTCATTCTCTTTTTCTCTCTCTCTTTAAGGAACTTTGACATATATGAAGGTTATGCCTCTTTATCATCAGAAACTTCACAAAGATCAGCATCACTCATGAACTGGCTTCCATTCAGCTTCTATGAAAGATGCGAAATGCATGGCAGCTTATAACTCATCTAACTCATCTCTCATTTGAAGGGGATGCTCCAGTAGATGGGTAAACATTCCAGTCTTAAGTTTGCTGAGATTTTCTCCACATTTTAGCTTAGACATTCAGGAAATTAACCATCTAAAGAGTAATAATACTCAAGGCCCCAACACAAATGGCTTCTCCGAGTTCAAAGCTATGCCCTCAAATATAGTGTCTCCTGATCCCTTGGGAGTCTTGGGCACCTTTGAGAATCTAATTTGGGCTTCCTTACCCCCAAAGATCCACATATACTCAACATGGCCTATGATTTCAGGGAGTTCACAGACCCCCTGCATCTCTTACACAGATTCCAGTTCAAGAACTTCTGATGAAGAGTGGACAGAACCGGGATTCACTTGAACCACATTTCTATGGTTTGTGCAAAATCACAGAAGGAAAATGATGTTAGCTATGTCTCCTTATTTTTCCTTTTATAAATGCCTTCTGGGACATACCTCTACTCTGGTCTAATTTCTAGTGAAAGCTTATCTTGACTGATGTGTTCAGAATAGGGTTGCCAAATTTAGCAAATAAAAATAGAGGATGCCCAGTTAAATTTGAGTTTCAGCACACAAACTGCGGTGTCTACATACAATGGAATACTATTCAGCTTTTAAGAAGAAGGAGATTCTGACCCATGCTACAATGTGGGTGAAACTTAAAGGCATTATATTAAGTGAAATAATCCAGTTTTGCAAAAAATATAAATACTGTATCATTCCATTTATATAAAGTATTTAGAGCTGTCAAACTCATAGAAAGTAGAAAGGTGGTTGCCAGGAGCTGGGAGTGGATGTAGAGGGAGGTGGATGAGGGCCCCATCCTTATTCTTATCCCAAGTATGATTTTCAGTGTAGGGTAGGCTAGAAGTGGAAGAGAGGTGAGTGGGAAGGATGGCTTCTTGGGATTAACCATGTTAATCAGCAACAACAATGATGTATTATCATTAATAACCATAATAATTATGTATTAATTATATAATAATATAATGTATGAATTATGATTTATTTCCATCAGAGAAGCAGAAACAAGGTCATGCAAAGGAGGCTCCTGATGAGTCTTGAAGCACCATACAGTTCCAGTGACTGGCATTTTGTCACGCCCTTAGCAGGAGGCACCCACCACTTTCTGCTCAAAACTCCACCATTATTGTTAGTCAGACACTCTCGCTTTGGTTTCTGTTTCTCCTGTCACTATACATCAAACATTTTCTGTTTTTTCTTAATCTTACTTTTTCCCTAGGTCTTTGTGCTTACAATGTGTGTGTGCTGTAGGATCTGAGAATACTCATTTCTTCCAGAGAAGACAAGAAAAACAAACAGGATGTTTGAAATTCCTAAGATGTGTTAAGCGGAGACAATGAATAAGCAGGTGGCTTGTGAGATGTAGACAGAATTCATGCACCCTATGAAGTAAGCTAGCAGCCTATAGAATATGTTGGAAGTTAAAAGAATGATATGACACTCCCAGATACCACAATCAGTTTTTTTTTCCCAGTCATCTGCATAATGACAACCTCGGATTTGGGGAACCCAGCATGGAACTAGGCTTCTGATTCTGGACAGGCCGGCTCTCCCTTTAACAGGGAGTTAGACAGGAACCCTGCTAGCACAGGGAGATATGTCTGATGTTCTCTCCAGCCTGGAGCAATAAGGGAGGGGATGGCAATTCTGAAGCGTGTCAGCAAAGTAGGAAAAGGTTTTACTCTAGAAATCCAGGAGCTCTGACTTCTGTGTCCGGCTCTATCAATACAGTAAAACTCCACCATTTGGATATGACACATTGGAAGTGGTTCCCATATTCCATCCATCTCCATTATCAGGGGTGGGTGATAAGGTGTTTATCTTCCCAGTGGGGGGAAGAGCAGATGTCGAAGGAGGGGTAATGCCAGGCGAGGAAATGGCGGGCAGCTTCATCTTGGGTAGTGGGGTCTCTCAATTCAGTCTCTCTGGATCCATCTGACGAAATGGATCTCAAATACCTGGGAGAAGCTGGGACTTCTTGCTGCTCTCAAAAAAGGCCCCAACCAGTCCTGGAATGGGTCCCACCAGGAGTTAAGCTGGAGCAGATAACAGCTGGTGCTGAATCACAGCGGGGACCAGGGTGGGTCTGTATCCCACAGCTGGAGCTCTGGAAGGCCCAGGAAGGCCAGGTCACCAGGTTTCAAAGGTTTCTCCTGGTCACTTGATTAACCCTGAAGTAATGCACATCTCTGTTTTCCTGGTTAAGTGTTTTAGACTTCACTTACGGTGTTATGGCAAAGATGGAGCTTTACCGTTGTATCAGTTTTGGTATCTCTGATGGCTGTTGCATATTACTTTATCTACTTCAAGAGGAATGTTGGGAGGATTTAAGGGCAGTAAGGAGAGCAGTTTGCCAAGCAGAAGCCGTACACTATGTAAAGGATCATGCTTGGATGGATCACCTAGTGTCCCTTTCCAAGCGGATTGTCCCAGGTTTAAGAGAGGTGAAGTTTATTGCCAGATAATAGAAGGGTTTTGAGCAGACAAATGGAAGCCTCGACATACTTGTTCTACCTTAGTAAATTTGGTAGATAAAAATGAGAAGTAATGGCCTTTAATAGCAAAGGTTTTATAGACCCTAGCAAAAGGAGAATGTTTAAGTCATATCACATTACACACTAAAAGCCTTATTCACGCAACATTATACCCAAGATATTTCAGGCATTTAAGGCAGGAAAGATGCAAATTAAGATCTCCCTCATCAACTCTCGCTTATTCCTCTTGAGCATTTATGTTCTCAGGAAACTCGTCTTAAATGTACCTTAAATGTACATATGTGGAAAGACTTAATATTTACCAAGAAAAATTTCCTCAGTTTGTAAAAAGCATCAGAAACCCAGTGAGCACTTAGCCAGCTACTGCATTGCTTCAGATAGTCTTCTGATTTTACAATGATACAAAATGTTTTTATGTCATAATTGGCATGTATATACTATTTTCGTGTAATATTTTAACATTATTCTCTGTGTGTGTGTGTGTGTCTTTCCATGCATTGAGAAAGGACATTGGCTCTCATTTTTTAACGCATATTCAGTAAACACAATACTTTGGATTTGGGTGTATTTTAAGCCCTAACTTCAACAAGCAACTTATATTTGGGTTTCTTAAAACCATCTTAAAGGAAAGAAAGATAGTAATGGCCTCAATCCCATATTCATCTGGTTGGTTCCCCTCCAAAGATAATGGGAATATTCTTGGTGCTTTTATTTCACTGTTTCCATTTGAGCCTTCCCTATCCAGCAATGCTATGGACAATGTGCACGGTGTATTCCCTTTTTCAATACTGTTAAATGGGTTAGATCTAAGTTGTTTATTTTCAAATAATATAAAGTCACTTAGAAGACTCTGCAGCTAACCTCCTTTGGAAAAAAGACACGAAAAATATCCTCTTCAGTTAAATTAAGTATTTTAAAGTTTATTTCCCAGGAACTAAACTCTCTAAGTAGACGGGTTTTGTTGTTTTACTCAAAGAAGAAAACAGGTCTGAGGTCGTCAGTCTTTGGATGATGGAGCAAGAATCTCAAGGCCTGGAGATCAAGAGACTGCTTAATCCGTTTAGCTTTGGGACCCGGAGTCTAGGAGCGTGGCCGGTCAGCCACTACTTCACCTGTCCTGCAGGTGGAGGGGATGAGGCCTCATCCTCCTGTGTTCAGCCTTGCAATCCCAAAGGCCGGCTATACTACTTCCCCGCCTTCTGCTTGCATCTCAATCTCATCGCCTCCACCTCTCCTCCTCCTCTTCACACTGTCACTACCTTAGTGCCTTTCCTTATAGGAATACCAAGTCATGAAACTTTAGGGGCCTTCCTTGACCCTGACAGATTTTCTGGCTCTGGTCTCATTCCCTTAGGCTTTGATGTGTGAATAGATTCTATAAGTGAATGTATATCCATTGGTGATCCTTGCCTGTGCTATATTTCCCGGATAACTTTGGCATTTTAGGCCAGAGTAGGGGCGGGAACTAATAATGAAGTCTCCTCACGTGCCAGGCACCGAGACGGGAAACTTGTACACACTGTTTAACTTCATCACACATCTCTGTGAGGCAGGGATTAGTCTTCTTCCTTCCTTCTTCTCTCCTTTCTGCAAACACTTTTTGAGCAACTACCATGTATCAGATGCTGGACACTGCCTCTCAAAAAAGGAGTGAGTACCCAGGGCTCAGAAGAATAACAGTAAATTGAATGAGCACGCCCCGACCTACTTGGAGGTATTGAAAAAGCCCCTTTTCTGGTGGCACCTCCTGCCACTGGTTCGGGGCCACAGAGGAGTCTGTATTTTCGGGGCAGAAACTGGCCAGTGTGTGACCCAGGAAAACTATGGCAAACAGAACTCAGAGGGAGTTGAGTGACTTGCCAAGGTCACAGAGCTGGTAGTAGGGGGCTGGGATTTGAACCCAGTTCTGGTGGGACTAGGAAGAGAGAGAGGCTCAGAGCAGGCTGGAGTCCTAACAAAGTAGGCTTTCAGGAACCCACTTGTATCTGGTCTTTGCTTTTCCCTAAGCTGCTAAATCTCATGGAATCACACACTTGGCTAAACTGGGCTTGCTAGTTGTTGAAAATGAGGCTTCCTGGGTGTCTACTGAGCAGATGGTCTCTGGGATACTGCTTTGGGTAAAAAGTTCAGAAATCTATAGATAACCCGCGAGTGGTCACCATCTTTTCCTCTGTGTTTCTCTCATATGGAAGCCACGCATAACTTAAGAAGAGTACAGAATGAATGT